TTTGCCCGGGACTTGTATCCACCACGGCCGGCCGCCTTTGTCTCCCCAGTGGCGATGTTAATACGCCACACCAGTTACTCGTTTTGAGGCTGAGTCCCTCCCTCGCCACTCTGCCTCCCTCGCCACTCTGCCTCCCTCGCCACTCTGTAGAGGACGTGAAATTTGTATGAATTTACCTCAGAGTGGCGTGTTGGGTGTCGAGGCCTAGCACCGTGCAGAGCCTCCCGCCTTGCCTGATTTTCGCACCCGGCGAACGCTGGGTACGGGTGCCGGTCCCCCCCCCCCCCCGCGCTATTAAAAATGGCGTCCACCCCGCGGAGAAAAGTTGCTACTCGTTGCCAGGGGCAACCGCCGTCCAATGAAAGCGGTGAAGGCGTGGCTAGCCGTTGCCAGGGGCAACCGCCGTCCAATGAAAGTGCAGTCCACACACACACACACAGACACACAGACATGAACGATTTTATATATATAGATGTATACATTTAACATTGCAGTGAATTGTAGTGCTGCGAGTGGCTGCAGGGATCGCATGAACTGCACTTGTAGAACATGTGCAAATCCTAACACACGAGTTGATGCATTTGGTGTTGACAAATTGGCAGGAATTTTTTTTTTGTGCAATTTGCACTTCTACACTTTATATTTATTTTTAGCGACTTGCTAAGCTTTTTTCTGTCTTGCGCAATGTTTCGTTGTTTGTTGATGTATCTCACTCACTCACCCATAGTGGACATCTGTGAAAAAGAGCATCATGGCTCATTGGATTCCTCCAGGACAAATACAGATTCTGAGTATGAATTTATTTTAATTGTGTCGTCACACCATTAATAAATACACACAATGCCAGCTTTGCAATGCATAATACAATTTGGATGTATTAAGTCATTTTGACCTCATCTTGAAGAGACCCTAGTGACACAGGTGTACATTTACAGGGTAACAGACAATTAAGGTAACTCCACAAACTCGGTGAGCATGAGTGTAATTGTTTATAGGTTTGGATGTTAGGGTGTCTTCTTGCGTAGTCGAGATGGAATATGGCCTCCCACTTAATTTTCCTCTGCAGTCATAGTTTGCATTGCATAACACCCTTTATAACACGGGGCTTATTCCTGTTTGCCTTGTTTGAAGATAACTACTCTGTGTTTAAAATGTAATTTCACCGTGTTGCTGCTCTTGCTGCTAATGCACGGTCCATTTTGTTGGACACGCTTTGGCACCGATGCACCGACCGCGGTTTCATTTGACGTCTGCTAAAGCAACCTTCTTGCATGTAACCTTCCAAAAAAGTATGCAGTTGACCCGAAGGGTGGAATTATAGGAGCAGTGGGCTCGGACCTAATTGAGCGCTTGTTGTGCTGTGGCTCCATTTTGCACGTGTCATCCCGTGCAACGAAGGTGGCCCCTGTACGTTAGGCGGAGGGTCACGGCACACGTGGATTTTCTCCACTGGGTTACACGAACGTTCCGACCGTCGTGAGGGCTGAACAGTGCCATTTTGGGGCATGGGCTGTTCGATGAGAGGCTGGGGGAGGAGGGGGGCTGTATAGAGCTTGGGGGAAAGGGCGTAGAAGGAGTGGGGGAGGGGAAGGTTTCATGTGAAAGGGCACGTTTAAGGGATTAGAAAATGGACGGAAGGGGGGTCACTGGTGTGCTGTCTACACAAAATGTCCCCCACCTTTGCTTGAAGAAGGCATATTTTTGCGTTGTGTTCTTTTCACGTATGCGTAGTTCGTAACCGCTGTCGTGCATTTGCTCACGGCATACAATATGCATTAATTTCCTTCAAGCTGCTTCCGTATGGCGTACAAGCGTGCACGAGCAAACATTGCAAAAGCATGCATAGGTCTGCTGTCAAAGAGCGTTATTTGCAAGGCTAAAATCAGACGAACCCTTTTTTCGTTCTGAGAAAAGAAACACTGGTTGCATTGGTCTTTGCAGATATGGTGAACGTCTGGAAAACCATTTACTTTGACAGTTACCGGTCATCTGAGCAGGACACTGCTTGGTGCTGTGACATTTCTCTTGACACGCAACAGATGGGGTTTTTTTTTTTGCAATGCAATATGTAAAATAGCTTTTTGTTTAAGTGAGAGCTGAAACTGTCAACTTGGAAGTGATCAATGACGCGATCGATTATTGCTTTGCTTGATCGAAAGGGAATTTTACTTTTTCCATTCCCCCGCCCCCTTGCACCCCCATATTTATTTTCAATCGGTTGCAAAACATGCTCGGGCACTACAAGGGGAAAGCACGTCAGGGTTTAGCAGGCCTGACTGTTGTCAGTGACACGAAGGCACAGAGTCATGAAGCCCCAAGCAATGCACAATGACTGTACTGGTAAAATGCACCATCAAAGTGCACCTCGTGGCCGTTCCTCACGGTCCGGAGGGCGACCTCTGCTGCATCACATGTGTGCCGTCACGTACCAAACAGTGTAGAAACACGGTGATGATACATAGAGTGCCAGGGCTACTGCAACATTTCGACGATGATTTTGTCGACTGCTTCATGGCTCACATTTTATTTTACTGGACTGGGGCACATCAAATTCTCCCTACGTGGAATCTGTCACAGCGGGGGATCTTTAATTCAGGGATCTGCGATTGCAGCTCGCAATGCAGTTAAGTTCAAGTATATTTCCCCGTGGGAGGTTGAGTATATCGTCTTAAATAATATACTGCCTCTGATTTACAATTTACATTTGTATTTTTAAAGAACAGTGGTGGAACTCAGTGATGTAGAAGCCTCTTGTATAAAAAGTCCCTTGGCAATGTCACAATCGCTCTTTGGATGTGTGGATACGTGCAATTGCTTGTGTACAAGAACACCTTGTGCGTGTGTTTTTGAGGAATTGATAGTTATACTGTTCATGGAATCTGAATGTGATGGCCCTTTGTCACCTTTTGTAAGCAGTGTTTTTAATCAAGCAGGCTTTTTAGACTTTTGCCCTAAATTCACAACGAAATATTCCCGCGACTGGCGCTAACCCACATCCTTTGCAGTGGAAACAAATTGATTTGGTTTGTGACACTGAAATACAATTGAAAAAAAAGGCATTCTCTTCGGAGGATTTCTTCCATTGACGAGCAAAGCTTTCAGCAGCAAATTAATAAATGTGACTCTGCTTTATATTTATTAAAAGGTTGACAACCACAGTGTGTGGTTTGAGATTATTGTTGTTACAGTTCTGCAGGCAACATAGCTTGCTCTAGAAGGATTGCTGATGTTCATCTTCATATGTCATTGACCTTGGGGAAGAGAAAAAAACATTCTCCACCATAGCAACAATTTACGCAGGAGTATGGGTTCAAATGTCATGCAAAACAGGTGGTTGTTTGATCATTTCCAAATGCCTTAAAGGCCTTGGCCCTCTTGTATTTCCAGCTTATTTTTATTTTATAATTGGATTCGGGGAATTTCAATTTAATAACAAATCCAGTTTTTAAAATTGTACCACTTTAAAAAAAGGTCGTAGCTTTATTATTTGAGTCTTCAAATCATGGATTTGTTGAAGTGCATAGCATGGCATTGTATGTCACAACACAAAAAAACAGTTGTTACTACTAGATGGAACACGTTTTACAGACATGTGTTTTCACAAACATGTTGTTTATCAGGTCTGGGTAAAGCTAGCTGATGATGTTACTGAGCTCTAATATTCCATACTGTATTTAGATGTACATTCAATCCACAGTAGTTGCATGTGGTATGGTTGGTTTCATACACGTTTGTCTTGATCCTCAGGAAACAGCTTCAATGGGAAAATTAACGAATTACTGTCCCCCCCCCCTCGCACATCTGACTTGTCCTTCCTCCGCATATCTGATTAGCACAGTTGGCTACGTACAGTGCGAAAGAAGTTCAACATACATAGTACATTATGGGCCTGTGGTTGTAATAATGCTAAATGTCAAAAACTACATCACTTTTCCTCCGTCAGTAAATTTTGACAATGATGTCCTCATAATCAACCATGTTCTATCCCCTGCTGGATGAAGGCATCCGCACATTGTCGACATGCCTCATAGTACTGAGACTCCATAAGTCATCCCGACTCCTACACACATGAATTGTGGTCATCACATTGGCCAATATCTACCCTCTTACTGACATTCCATTTCCATTATTGCCCATCTACCTCGTCTACAATAATTTGTTGGTAATGGAAAATTCCCATCCGATACCAGTAGCTGGAGCTTAAAACAGAATGGATCAACATGCAGCGCTCACTTGCCACCATAAAAAGACTCAACATGGCCGACGACCCCCCCCCCCCCCCACGTTCGCGGTTTAAACGGAGACCCACGACGGGTAACCAGACAGCGCTGGGGATGGAGTGGCAGGGGTCTGACCCACCCCGATTGAGGAGATGAAGGTCCCTGGTGCCAGCAGTGCCGGTAGATGCCTCATCCTCCTTTCCGTCGTGAGGAGAGTGCAATGGGGCAGAGCCTGACGCCACAATGCACCTGCTAATATCCTGGTTGGCTCCCATGCACACGTAGCACCGCTGGTGGATATCCGCAGCTAGGAGCATTGAAGCAGGAATTTTGACATGCCACTGCCGCTGATATAAAGGGATAGAGCTGCCTAAAGGCCTGTACCATGAGCGATGCTGGTATTAAAACATAGTCCCCTGGAGCAGCAGAGACTGTTCTGCAAAGAAAATTAACCAAACTAAGACATTTATTTCATGGAAATTGTAAACTTAGAAAGTTTGCTGAAGAGAGCGTCTTTTACACATGGGCGGTGATGTTGGGGTGGTAAAATGAAGCGCCCATACAAAATGATTCGTTTATTTCCAGAAATATATCTGTTTGCTTTGATAATGATATCCAGTTATAAGGATCCTTTAGTACGTTATCATTGTTCACCCCAGTTTGTGACCATTACTTCCCAGATGTAGTATAGAACCCATTGCTTGGCGCATGCTGCATTGTGTGCTAGTGGCGGCTTGCTGGCTTTCTCACTCACTGTCCGGGCGTTGCTTATGTGCACAGACCCAACGCCGCTGGTGGGTCTGGACCGACTGAGCTCGTGGAGCTCGGTGGAGCTGGCCGTGGCCATCGCCGCCCCCATCTGCTTCCTCTGCGTGCTGTTCACCGTGGTGCTCTGCTTATGCCACAACCGGGCAGCATGCCGGCACCTGCCCGTGCCAGACTCGGATGAGGAGCAGGACATTGGACACCTGCATCACCACCACCACCACCGCTACATCACTGAGGGCACAACTCTAAAAGACCTCTATGACCTAACCACTTCAGGATCTGGATCAGGTATGCTTTTATTGGGCGTGAGGACGCTCATGGCAAACAGCTTGTGTAAATCTAAATCCATCGAGCAGCTGGCGAGATTCACATGTTGACTAAACGGCTGAAATGCATCACCTTACCGATTTGCCCATATTGGTGGTGGAGACACTGGGATGTTTTAACAAACATATTACAAAAAACTATTTTAGTTAACAAATAAATCTGGCTCCTGATCTATGTTAATTATTCAGAAAAAAAATGGTCCTATTGTGTTTCTTTTTTTCATGCTTTGAGAATTGTTGGCATAATCAGGTTTTGTACGTGTATAATTCATTGCAATTAAGCATGATAAATACATTAATATTGTTATTATCACAAGATGATGCCAAGATGTTATGTCTAATAGACTTTCCAGACTCTAGCCAAATACATTATCTTAGCAGTAGCTTTGTGATGCTTGAATGTTTAGCATGATACATTTATGGGGATTTTAAGTGGCTTTTTAAGGTACTGGGACAGCTGATTGTTATAAGAGATGCTGGTAAGGAGAGGATGGATGTTTTTTTAAATCATGGAAGAAAGATTAAGGGGGAGAGAGAGACACACATGGTGAAAACAGAACAATAACGCAGTACATTTGGCATGGCACTTGGGATAGAAAGCCTGTGTCCCAGTTTATGATCCATGATTTTAAGTTTGTGGCATGGTAATGTTTTTTGTAAATTCATGGCCGAGGTGTGGGAACAAAACCTATAATTCACAGAAAGGTAACAGAATAATGAGGTGTGATACTCCACCTAATATTAACTTGCATAAAAAAAAGACTTTTGTTATGAAAAAATATTTAAAATAACCATTTAATAGTAAAAAAAAGAACCTTAAACCAAGTGGCTAATTTAAGGCCTTGCATTTTATGGATGAAATAATATTCAAGATGAATTGAAATAATAGCATACCGTGTATGGGTTACTCTTCCACGGTGGCCAGATATTTTGGAAGAGTTAGGAGTACCCACACTTCACCTGCACCACACGCAGACCTGCCGATGAACAGTGAACCACCCTCTTAACAAATCAACAGGCAGTCCATCGCAACGGAGGTTAATGGAGGCGTGTCAATGCGTGTCGAAACAGGCTTACCCCTGCTGGTGCAGCGCACCATCGCAAGGACCATCGTGCTGCAGGAGAGCATCGGCAAGGGCCGCTTCGGCGAGGTGTGGCGTGGCAAGTGGCGTGGCGAGGACGTCGCTGTCAAGATCTTCTCGTCACGTGAGGAGCGCTCCTGGTTCCGCGAGGCCGAGATCTACCAGACAGTCATGCTGCGCCATGAAAACATCCTGGGCTTCATCGCTGCCGACAATAAAGGTTTTTTTTTTAATAAACACATCCTGGTGGCACTTTACTGCACTTTGCAACAAGCCTATTTTCGTAAGTACAAACATTTTAGAGTGTTATCAGGATTATCAAAGGCGAGTGTTTCTCTTTCTCAAAATAACGTGTCTGCTTTGAGCAAGTGGTAAAAATTCTTACTTCTTGTGATGGGGGCCAGTGACCATGACTGTAGCAAATACAGGTTTGGTCATTCGGAGACATTATTAGCACTATCTCATGCAAGCCTAATTTTTCAACTCCTGCTACATTGTTCGCAGTCATGCCTTTGCAACACAGGCAATAGATGTTGGGATCACCATTCCCATTTATTATAACTCTATCTGGCTGTTATTGGATAGAAATTTCCATAGATATGTGTAACATTTTATATAAAAACATCAAGTAATTAATAATTTTGGTGATAACTTCCACTCTGTATAAATGTCCACACGACTGGTGGAATATAGCTGTTGACTCGATGTGGTGGGTTTGGTGGTGGCTGCTAGACTATCCTTCTACGTAGACACTTACTTTTTGAACTTGTTGGGCCACTGTTGATGATTTCTCGTGTTTTTACAGACAATGGGACTTGGACGCAGCTGTGGCTAGTCTCCGACTACCACGAGCATGGCTCGCTCTTCGACTACCTGAATCGTTTCACAGTGCCTGTGGAAGGGATGCTTAAGCTAGCCCTCTCCACTGCCAGTGGGCTTGCTCACCTGCATATGGAGATCGTCGGCACACAGGGTAAGCAATCAAACATGACACATGTGTGCCAACATTGTTGCCCCTTACACGTACGTAGCTAAAATTCGAAAGCCAATTATACAATCGCAAGGACTGTTACGTTAAAACCTCATATAAAAGTTGTTTGTTTTAACAAAGTTAAGTGTTGTATAGAATATTTTTTTTCTTAACTGAAGAGCTGCCAATTCATGGAATATGATTTCCTTCCTTTCCCCCCCCCCCAAAATGCACGGAAATTCTGTGTTTGAAAGCAAGTCACGTAAAAAAAATGTGCACAAAATGTACAAGGCCCACCATAAGGTAATTGAATTTGTGCAAGCACCAATTTGGTTGTCTCTTTAATTCTGCACAAGGGTTTGTCATGAGGCATACCCCATGTAACAAATGCATTGCGACCTCTTTACATTCAATCGCATTCAGCCCAGAGAATTCTGTTTTAAAGGAACACAACCGTACTGGCAGCCTTGCGTTCCTACGTCCAGCTGGAATGCATAGAGTAGTGTCAGCCAATGGAACCTCAGGCCATCGTATGCCACAGTAAAATCAGAACAAATTCTCAGTGTAGACGGTGCTCAGATGGTAAGGGCCCCCTGTCAAGGGATGAGTATCCCTTCATGCCAACACACAAAGGACCCCATTGTGCGATAAATGTAAAACATGTGCTGATAAAAGGAAGAGTTATTAAATTAGTAAAGTATCACTGTAACAGGTATAGATGTTGCATTTCTTGGTGTGATGAAGAGAAGGTGATCTGTACCAGTATGGTATAAGTGGCTTTTGCTTAAATCCATTATAACTTCGTTGACAGTTTAACCAGCTGTAGCAGTCAACAAGAGGAATGTAGCCCTGAATTAAATCTGCAGTACCCATTTAATCGTTATAAAAATAGAGATTTTTGGCTTGGTTAAAGCATCTTCCTTGATGGAATATTTTCTTATTTTTATCAGTGAGGTGGCTCGATGGCACAGAGTTTAGAGTGCTGAGCTGGCACTGTTGAGATCTTTGGTTCAAATCCTGTGCTTAAACTGGTTTCTCAAATGCAGCGTGTTGTTGGTCTAAGTCTGATTACCAGGGAACACGAAAACATAAAATTGTGCAATTTGGGTAAATTCTGGCTCTGAGAATAAAAATATTGGTTCGACTGCCATTGATCTTGTGCACTATATTTTTTTCTTGAACAAGAAGACTCATTAATGTGCATTATTTCTCCCCATTGCAACTCCACCCATGGTTTGACCCGCTCACCACCTCGCAGGTAAACCGGCCATCGCCCACCGAGACCTCAAATCAAAGAACATCCTGGTGAAGAAAAACGGCATGTGCGCCATCGCAGACCTGGGTCTCGCAGTGCGGCACGACTCGGCCACCGACACCATCGACATCGCACCCAACAACCGCGTCGGCACCAAGAGGTCAGCGTGTGGCAGCTGCATCCCTCATACAGCGCGTCGTGCAGTGATCCTTACACTATTAACTCTGTACATAACGGTAGAACTCTTCCTATCCCTGGCCCCATTATCTGCAGGAACTTTAAGGTGGTCCGCTAAACCTCCAATTATCAAAAGTACTGTTCTCTGTGTTTCTGTATTTTTTTTACTTTCTGCTGAAGAACAGCTTCCTATTATCCACGATGTTTTATGTGAATAAGAATTCATTGGCAAAATCTAGGGTGGTGACGTGGCCTGTTTGCCGCTTGTTGCAGAGGTTCACGGTTGTAATCCAGCGGCTTCCCTGATCATCATTTGCCGGTGTAACAACCATAATATTACTATGCACCGTTTGCTTTACAGTTTGCTGGCATTAGGGTCCACATTTGGAAATTAACAGAAACATTTTCATTTGAATTATACATAGCAATCAATTTGTTTCCCCATGGACAAGTGGAGCAAATTTATGGATAACCCCATGGATAAGGGTTGTGTATAATGGTTTTAGTCATTCACAAAGAGTAGGCCATTGCGTTTCTGTGCTGGGTACTGTTACGCTGTATCTAAAGCCTACGTTGTCTTGTGGTAGTTTAAGGGCCAAGATCCATAATGTACAATGACCAGACATATTTCTTGTTCACGAAGCTTTTATAAGCAGCAGCACAGATAATACTTTTCCTACAATATTAACTTTAATCTTCACAGTCATGGGGAAATAACAGATGAAAGTATTGATCTCATATTCTACAGAATACCAATTTTGCATGGGTATTACCTTTCTATGCATTGTGATGCCAAGTGATCTTTGGCAGGCTTTTAAGCAGATCTAGAAGTTGTATAGTTCTGTCTGTAATCAGCAGTGACTTTTGCTGACCTGGATGTTCTTGGCTGACAAGGCATGATTGATGAGATGCTGTGTGGATTTGACCATTACGTTACAGGGCATGCCTTTGTGACTGCCGCAGTGCTCGCCATGGCAGCCTTTGCTTTGAGATATCAACACTGGAATATATCTGACCAAGGTCTGATAATACTAGTCATAATCATCACCCTCGGCATTGATCTCTCCACTGCTGGATGAAGGCATTCCCATGTCGGCATAGTCTCGTCGTGCTTTTTGTATTTGGTTGTCCTTCCCCGCACCCCCGTTTGCATTGTTATTCTGTAGGCACATTTCCACGTTGCTTTTAATTCATCTTTATTTCAACAATTCGAGCTCAATTCACCTTCAGTAATTGATAATTGTCTTAGGTACATATGCTATGATGATCAACCGAATAGGATTTTTTTCGTGGGTACACTTGGCAAGTAATCATAACACTTTGGTGGTTAGTTTACAAGCAAATAGAGTTATGCTATAAAAGAAGCACTCGGTGGGATTGCTGTGGTCACATTTCTGGCACAGGCCCTTCAAATGCGACAATATTGCAGCTCATAAAGCATGTGTTAATCTTTATTCACAACTTGTTATCATGTTTAATCCTGTGATGTATGAAATGGTGCCAGTTTCCACACGGCTTTAAGACTGTAGTACAGAGCTTTTGCATACAATCTCTGCTTATGAATGACTAATAAATATAAACCGTTCAAGGATTTTTACCATTTGTGGTATTTTAGAACATAAGTAAATAATGAAAGGGTTAAACATTACTTAATTTTAAAATATAATTCAAATGGTTTTATGAACGAAAAATGTATTCATATTTGGGTTCTTTTGGATGAATGTATGTCGCTAACCCTACTCCACCCAACACAGTCAATTAATAACAGTGTCATCTGAATCAAATGTGCTTCAGCAGCATCACCGGTTTTGTTGGTGGCATCTCGCCGCAGTGACGAGATGTTCACCCCCTCGCTTGATATGCAGAAGGTTGTGGGTTCGATCCTGACCCTGATGCCTGTATATTTGGAGTTTGCATACTTTTCCCGTGGTCATGTCGATTTTTAACTAAAATATTCGTCTGTCGTGTTCGTATGTCAACTTTGTCTAGTGTCATAATATATTTTTAATGTTGAGTTGTCATATCTCTCAATTTTACTTACTGACTCCTACAGTAGCCTGGAGCCATTATATTCTACATCAGGTTGTAGCGAGTTGCCCTGCTGGCGAAAAAAAATGTATGCCAAGCATGTTGTCAACGCAGACTGAAGATTTTGTAAGGTTTAGCTGCGAAGCATTTGGCAGAACTTAGGTATGCATGTAGCCATTGTTTATTGTTAGTGTCTCTTGGTTTTATGAATGTGTGTTATTCCGAGGCAGTTACCTTTTGTTGTACACACGTGTAATTTAAAATCCTCATTTAGCAATAATTAAAGTGTTTCGCAGTCAAATTTCAGATGACAATAAACATGGTAAGTGATAATTGTTTTTTTACCCTTCTATCTGGCAACAAAACTGACACCTTTTTTTACAAGGAGTCATGTTTGCATAGACCACAATACCTGCAGTCATAAAGCAAACAAAAAACATAACTCTCATAATGTATGCATTGTCCTTGAAGTTGATTGGTCCACACCCGAGACAGCTTTCCTTAGAGCCTAGTCTCACATGGGTTGGACCAGATGACGCCTTTTGGCGTCAAAAGGAAAGCTGTCTCGGGTGTGGACCAATCAACTTCAAGGACAGTGCATACATTATCAGAGTTATGTTTTTTTGTTTGCATTATGACTGCAAGTATTGTGGTCTATGCAAACATGACTCCTTGTAAAAAAAGGTGTCAGTTTTGTTGCCAGATAGAAGGGTAAAAAAACAATTATCATATTTTTTACTGGCAAATGAGGTTCCAATGGTGTAACATGGTAAGTGTTCACATCATCCAGATCTGAAGACAGTGATGGGTTATGGTGCTGGATTACCACACTACTCCCTGCTTAACATGCTGCAATGGGTCAACATTAGCCCAGTGAATGCCACCTCTGGCCCAGGGCTGAAGACCACTGTGTCAGTGTCGTATGCTATCTGTATTATAGACACGCCTTGTAAATTTACCTGGACTACTTGCAGGACCAATATTTATCAGTGTACTTCCACCGCACGATTTTTAAGCTTGTGTGCACCAACTGGGTTCAAGCTTGAGGTTCCTCTTGCACCGCTTAGCTATGTCGCTATTCAGCCAGGCTTGTTGTGCTGCTACAAACTAAGCCCTGGTGCAAAGCGAAAGAAAACAAATGGAATGTAGTTTTTTTCTCCTTGGCAGCAGTAGCACCCGCAGGCGCCACGGTGGCGAGATATTAACTACCTCACGTGGTATGTAGGAGGTTGTGGGTTCGATCCTGACCCTGACGCCTATTGTATACTGGACATCTGTGAAAAATAGCTTCATAGTTCATCGGATTCCTCCATTATAAATAAATATTCTGATTTTGTATATTTGGAGTTTGCATGTTCTCCCCATGGTAGTGTGGATTTTTCTCTGGGTCCTCTGCTTTTTCTCTCCACATTTAGAAACGTACTTTTAGAGTATTTAGCTGCTTTAAATTTACACGTGATAAGCCACTTCGTTGAGTGATCATTTGTGTCCAGGTCGCTTTTGAAAAATAACTATATAGCTCAGTGGGCCTTACCTGATAAAATACAAAGTTTAATTTAATTTTAGTCAAGCACATCAAGGTGATGACCACCTTAGAGAGGTTATGCTTTTTGTGTTTAGTTTCTTGTCCTTCCCCTGCTCCGCCGATTAGCACGGTTGGCTACGTAAGGTGCGAAATAAGTTCAACTCACATACCTTACACGTCATTTATCTGGTTGAAAATGGCCTTAAATTTTTAATCGACTGCCAATGTGCAGAATTTTTAAAGAGTGCTTAAAAACATTAAATTTTGATGATTATTTTTGTCCCCGTGAAATATACTGGTCATCATTTACTTTGAATGCAGAGGTAGATTTTGTCTTTGGTTCTTAAGCAGCTGTAAAATTATATGTAATACATTTTTATGAAGGTGATGGAGGGGGGGGGGCATAATCCAAACACCTTGAATGTGCGGAATGCGCTTGATCTCGATGATAAGCAGGCTTATGCCTGGATAGTGCTCGAATGAGTGACCACCTTGCACAATGGTTTGTTATGGGTGGCTGCGGACCCACAATGTGTGTGGCAGAGCGCAGTTATATAACGTCCATTGTTCTACCATACCTCTGTGATCCCACGTCTCATATTGACGGACTTGGCTTAGTGTCGTCCAGTAACCCACACTGCAGCGGCGGCGGCACGGAGGAAGAAGCCCTCATCCAGAATTGACAAAAGAGCTGCATATGTAGGGGTTTTTATTTATCCATAACTGAAACAAGTACAATTTTATTTTTTATTTTTTTGTACAACGCAGAGACGCATTAAATTTGGCTTCATAGTAAGGAAATGAATAGCGTATTAAACAATCAACAAGTGCTGGTTTGAAAACCCAAACATCTCATCTTTTCTACCTTGTATGGCCAGGATGGGTGCTTGTAGAAATGTGTTTTGTGTAAAGACTAGCAAACAACTGTATTCTTCCTGCTAGCTTTCACTCTAATTATGAACTTGGCAAAGTCATTTAAATATTCTGCACATTTTCCAAATAACTGTTGTAGTCAAGCAAGACAGGTGAATGTCGTGCAGACAAACATGGATAATTAGTGTGCAATGCAACCTAGCAAAGTGCTAATAGTGCTGTGCATGTTAAGGTTGATGGAAAACCTTGCCGTGGTGTAATCTCTTGAGGAAACATGTTATAAATTACATCAGTATACTGAAAGACCATTGAACTGCAAGCGTACATGCCTTGAATGTATTGTGTTTTCGTCATTTTCTGGCTTGGAGCCTGGAGTCTGGTCCATCTAAGTTGGACATTTCTGGGTGCCCTGTAGCTGCTCAAATTCTTTCCCAGGGGAATCCAAAAATGCGTACACTAATTTTGTCGGCTCTTTGATTGCAAGCAATGCATGTTGTAGGTCACATTTCTTCGGGATGATGCCAACAATGTTAAGACTTATAAATGCTATGATTTATTAAATGAGGATCTGGTTCATATGTCTTTTATAAATTGCTCATTTCTAAAAGCATACATAAGTCAGCAGTAGAATAAGAATGCTGTGTATACAAGAAAATGAATCAATGCACACGGAGAAGAGTAAATGAAGCATGGAACAGAATAATGTTAAATTTGATAAATGTCTTGATTTCTTTCATTAGATACATGGCACCAGAGGTTCTTGATGACACGATCAACATGAAGCACTTTGACTCATTCAAGCGTGCTGATATCTACGCTCTGGGGCTGGTATTCTGGGAAATAGCTCGGAGATGTGCTGTCGGAGGTAAGTTGTTCATGTTACATTAAACACTGGCGCACATTGCAGATGTGCTTGTACATATTTCCATTTGCTGCATTGTGTTCAACCCCTGCACACTTACATCGCACACACAGCTTCAGTGGCCACTGTCCTTGTGGCAGACATCATTTGCATAAATTAGCAACGTGGCAGATGGCAAAGCAGATTCAACTGCCTTGTCACAAATAAGTGTGAGGAAATTGCTTGAACTGGCAGTATGCAACATTGTGGGAGAGTATAAGCTACACATCTGTAGCTCAATATAATTTTTTATGTATAATACATTCATCTCCTAACCTATGACATTGCTAATAAACTTTCACATGATACCTTAATGGATGCCCTGCCACAGCTAAAATGTCAACTATTATGACTATATGTCTAACTTTAACAAATCTAAATAATTATAATAATAAATGTATAGCTTTGGACATACTTAAACCCAGTTGTGGATTGAGTTTTGTCAAAAATCGTATGGCTGCTATAAATGCAACAAACGGCTATTAAAACAATGCACACGAACATAGGTGCTTTGTTTAATACTCTTTACAATGGTGGGGGGGACGGACGGACATGCCTCCATATTTTTTTGTTTTGTTTTGTATTTCAATAAGAGCCCGGTACCGAGCACGAACTGTGACACAGGGAGGGGGTTATAGAAACTCCGGGGACATAGGTCCCGAACTCCATGCTCTCCTGGGTTTAAATGAAGGAGGAGATGGGACTCGCTGCCCCATGTAAGTGGGGGGGGGGGGGGGACCGCGAGCGTGGTGTATGCACTTTTACATGGGGAGGCAAAGGTGAAGAACTTAATTAAGGGAATAGAGGGAGCAGTCAGAAGGAGGGGGGGTGAAGAGATTGAGACTTATCCACACTAGAGGTGCTGCATTTTCCATAACCACCATTTTTTGTCACATGGCAGTCAAACAGATATTTTTAATTTCCGGAGCTGGAGTTTAACCAAATAAAAAAGTTACAATTATGATTTTTTTTTTGTGTGCAGTCCTTAATAATTAGACTGAGACTATCAATTAACTACACTTGAGATTGCACTTTTGTTATGGATGGTTGCCTATGATCAAGCTGAGGATCTGAGCAGTGCCAACTCAGCCTTTCGACCACCAATCTACCGGGCGACCTTGAAGAACTCCGATTCTCCGTTCGAAGCATGTGTTGTGAGCTTAACCCTTTCCCGTTCCGATGACGTACGTGTATGTCATCAGTTTTTCTTCCGAATCGTAAGTAAAAGGCCATGCGGGAGGGCGTGTGGCACAGTTTGGGACCAGCTATCATAAAATGCGGTTGCGTCGCTACTGTTCTCTGCGGTGTGAGAACATTGTCTTTAAAAACAGCGGCGCTGTGCCTCTAAATAAAAATGAATGCTCACCGTTTGCGCGTCCCGGGATTCAGCAGTGAACGGGACCCACCTTGCAACTTGTAGATGTCTCGGAACGGGAAAAGGTTGATTGATCATCTATCTATGGATACATCATTGTGGAGATGAGAGAAAGAGTGGTTTGTTCAAATTCTCACATGCTTTGCTGCGTACAGCAGGGATTCATGAAGACTACCAGCTGCCCTACTATGACATGGTGCCTTCGGACCCGTCTATCGAGGAGATGCGCCGGGTGGTGTGCGAGCAGAAGCAGAGACCAAACATCCCCAACCGCTGGCAGAGCTGTGAGGTACGTATGCTGGCTTGCTACCGCTACTGCTGTGTACGCAGGCGGCGCTTCCACCTCATCCGCACGCTCCCAGTTGTATTTTATTACCCAAGCCTGAATTTCTTACGCACATTCAACGGATAGTATTCCCCCATGGTTATCTACACTGTATTTTAATTTATATAGCCTTTCTCGAGATGAACGTGACTTTTACTTCCCGATAGTCACAAATAAAGTGAATTATGTCAAATGTATCTTACTTTTACTATATATCTTTTGCAGTAATATTGCAAACTGATTTAGTAGGCATACAACCTTATTCTTGGGTCTTTCGGTAAAGTCACTTAAAGTCACTTAGATAGGTTCAAGGAAAAAAAGCGGGAAAGCTGTCGTCTTTTTTTTTCCTGAAGATGATTGCTTGCGTTGCAATTGAAACGTCGTAGTTTTTTGTTATTTTTTGTTATTTTCTTTGAACCTATCTACGTGACTTTACCGAAAGACCTAAGAATATTAATTCCTGCAATCACGAAAGCTTTAAGTTAAGATTTAGGCATACAACCTATTTTGGGCCCCTTAAATAGCATGCAGTCATCATTATTGTACCTTTCGCTATAGAAATTTAGATTTGGAGTAACGTCATGTGCATAATCAAAACATATGGCCGTCTCATTTGGTTGCTATAACCCGTTGGTGTTCAGTGGAACAGCGTTAATAATTTCTGGTGGTGCTCTTGGCACATTACAGGCCCTCCGTGTGATGGCCAAGATAATGCGCGAGTGCTGGTATGCAAACGGGGCGGCTCGTCTCACGGCGCTGCGCATCAAGAAGACCCTCTCACAGCTGAGCCAGCAAGAGGACATCAAGGTGTGAAAGAGTCAGACCCTTAGCAGACCGGCGGCAACACGCAACAATAGCCCTACGCCAGTGTGGAAGACTGTTTGACTGGGCACTCCTCTGCCTTGCGATCGTCACTGCAACCACGCTGCCCTGCTCAACTGCCCTGCCCACGACTCACCTTGTTGCAAGCGGTGTGCCGTGCCGACGCATGCCTTTTTAAGGACCGACATAGATTACTTCAGTGCCATAATCTGGTCATTCATGCTTACAGATTTCATTCTACCTCGTGACATTCAACCTGCAGAGTTCTTGAACTCTGCTCTTGAACATGGGAACATCCACCACCTCTGACATGCAGTTTCCATTGACCATTCATAGGTGTCTTAGCTGAAGCTTAGTGGTATCAAACCACTGTGGGGCATTTCTTGTATCCAAAGTGAGTGTTGCGTCAAAGTGACCGATCGCACTCTGGCAAAAAAGCAAGCAAAGTGTACATTTTGTCCACGGCATTCAAAACTGATTTATTAAGTAGTGTGCATTGTGAGTGGAGTAAAGATCAAATTTTCCTTGAAAAACAGCCAATTGTTACACAGCCATCGAGGTCTTTCAAGAACTATATGGTCTGCTTCAACTATGCACCCATGCAAAAGAAGATAAGAAAATGAAGGTCAAATGGGTTGCTTATATTAGTCATTGCAAATTAAATATGTAGTTTTTGGTTAATGTTTTTTTCTCTAGGACCTGTGGAATGTGAGCGAGGCCATAAGTGGGCCTGCATTTGTGAGTATATTGTGTTGACATTTTTAAGTCCCCTTGTAATTGAGGGTTTTTAGAAGACCTTGTATTGCTGCTCAGCATACAAAGGCCATGAAAAAACATTGTACTATATAAAAGTAGCTTGTTTTGTCAACTGTAGCATTGTTTGTCAAGCCGTCTTTCAGTCAGTGGATATTAAATGTCACTTTATCTGCTTAAAGTAGTTTCAGCCACTTCACACCGATAGATTTACACGTCAGCTTGCCTCCCAGAGTTGAAGAGTAATGGAGGTTGCCTTTGAAAAAAAATATATACATTATGCTGTAAATAGTATTTATAGTGTTTGATAGAAAAATGTTTAACGTTTATTACACAAATAAATTAATTTAAAATATCACATCTGTAACAAAACAGAAAATACATTTTCATAATATACAAAACTGAATGTGTTCAGTTACGTAACTGCTGCAAGAACACCGAATAGCTGATTGTTCTTTACCCATTCATGCATTTTAAACTTCGTGGGTACATCAGTCATGGTAGATAATACCTTTGTAACCTCAAACCCCCTTACTGTGAAATAGCTGCTATAGGTTTTCTCCAGATTATAAAATCGTCACATCGGCGTTCACATTTTTTCTTCTTTATTTCCACCTTTTTCTCGTTTAAGACACTTTATTAACTCAAGCTGGCTGACATCATCGGCACTGCACGTTGCTGCTATGTTGTTTTTTGAGACTTGAAGAGGGAATGCGGCATTCTAAAACCTTGTCATTCAGTGGCATTAAGCAGTCTTATGTAATGTTCACTTTGAAAAGTCAAATCCGGAGTGTCTCCACGCTTAAACAAACATTACAGTGGGCACGCATCTCCTTTGACAGCCCTGAGCCAGTTATGGACATTATCTATTCCAATGCCTTGGCTAGTCTGTATTTAGGACAATTGGATAACAGCATGACATTTTTTTTTACACAAAGTAAAACAAAATTTGCTTGTAAATTTTGTCAGATCGATAGATATGCATTTAATAGGGGAGTGCATCATGACTTCACATCAACAACATCAACAACATGAACAGCAGTCATTCGTCCCTATGTGGCAGTGACATAACCATAGTGCTTGTGGGGGTGAAATGCACTTTGAGGCCACGTGAAGTGTCGAAAACTTGCATGCAGGAGGCCATGGGACAGACACCATTCCTCCTGGCCATGTATTAACATACCTGGCCCTCCGCTCATTTCCCGTTCTTGCTGGACGGAGACTGCCTCCAACTCCACAGATGCTGATCTTGACACTGCTAATACCATTCATTGTCAAGCCCAATCAACTCCATATCCTGCTGCACCATATCAGCCCACCTCTTCTCAATCCCTTGCCATGCCCGTGTATCTCCCCCTATCCGGCCAAACAAGCTATTTGGGCATTCGGTGGCTGAGCCAACCAATGGAGCCTCGCTTACGAGAGGTGCTCACTAATGAGACCGTGTTAAGGTTTTTAAAGGATCTTTCAAGAATCTGGGAGGTCCACGTTCCTTTGAAGGAGTCACAAGTTTCGTAAGCATAGAGAGGAAAGGGCATAACTGTGGCCGAGAAGACCTGGAGCTTTGTATGGAGCGATTCACCAGCCAGCTTCCACACAGTATTACACAGCCGATGAAAAGATAATGCTGCCCGAGTTGAGGACCTTCCACTTCTCGTGATGACTGGAGGTAGAACCGGTCAAACGGACCTCCCAGGTTCAGTCTGTACTGGTCCAGCTCCCGAGAGAGACATGGCAGCCCCTCGGTGAGTGTTTGGACATTCCACTTAACCAGACAGCGGTTTCCTGCCGTTTCTGGAAGAACCACGAGGGGGGCGGGAAGCAGGGGGAGCAGGGGTTAGTCTCTTGGCTCTGCTGAACAAAGTTTGGCCAGAAGATATCACGGGCGCCTGTCCCCCCGCGGCCTTCGGCACAATCTTATGCTGCCCTTTTTGTGGTTGTTTGGTACTTTAATTGAAGAGAGTCCGAGTTGGCACACTGTAGTGGCTGTGAGCATGCCGTGAGAGCAACAGTTTTGAGCAACAGTTTTGAGCATCAGCCTTTTCGCCTTCCCCCAAATGGCAATGCTCGCAACACACCAGTGTTGCCGTCTGACACCAGCGAGGAGGTGTTAGGTTGTTTTGCCGGTTGACTTCATATCTCTGACGCAGGGATAGTCACCGTAGAGTTTTGAAGAGGAAAATTGGCTTTGGTTTGTGGCACGCAATGTACCCCGCATGGCATGTGGTTATCCCATAGTGCCACGCAAAGTGGAAACGGAGACTCATTTTAATGGTGCCAGGTCTGTCACATATTTTTGTCCATACCTTCCCAGGTGGTGTTTCTTCTCCAATTGATAAGTTAGCTTAAAACGATGTGGGAAAAATGTGTTCATGCAGAGTAAGCATACCATAGTTATTCACTTAGTAAGATGAATTCAGTGTAGCTGTGTTCACAAACGTTTATTGGAACAGTTCCTTTCCTGTAATGTCAGCAAAGTTACATATTCATTCATATGCTTGAGTTTAACAAATTGGGAATTTTCTAAAGTGTAACTTTTTTGTATCACAAATGTACCCAAATTGGTCAGGGTAAAGCAAAGTAATTTGTTGTAGAAAAAACCATTTGATCGTGGCCAATATTGTGCTATGTTTTGCAAGGGGTTGCATATGATATGTCTCATTCTTTTGTTAGTATTGTTACCTAAACAATTACAAAGAACATACTCTAGTTACAATTCTAACTAGTATAAAACCTTAAATGTGACGGGATTTATAATTTCTTGCTAGACGACAGTCGTTAATTGAGTCAAACCTTTTAATATTCACACCTTAGTGTGAATAACTCAGATGCATTTTCGTCTTTGGCATTAACAGCCCTGAAGTGGCTTATCCTCACCTGACAGTAGAAACACGCTGATTGTATTTTACCTGTTTCCCAGTACCAGCCAATCTGATATTAAAAGGTGAAGGGTTACTGCACACTATGTATACATACATATATACCATACTTTAACACAAATATACATCTAATTATAAAGTTGCGATTGACTAAAAAAGCCATTTTTTTGTAGTCTTGCATGGACGTATATATACTGTATAAATTTAACCCATTTCGTCGTTGTCTTGCAAAAAAAATGAATCAGGCATTTGGTACTATGCAGACGGTAGAAAACGAGTCTTTATTGACAAGTGCTGTCACTTTAAGAAAATGAAATTGCAATTTGCGGCTCAAGTGAGGTACACACGTTTCTTTTTCAGCAAATCACTACTGTAAAAACAGATGCCTTCACTTTGGCTGGCCCCATATGTAAGCCATACTTTGTCCTTGATGTTCAGTGTACAGTGAGCGTAGTTCCGTAAAATAAGCATTGTTTTGTCTTGTTCATGTTTTATTTTGTAAATAAAATATCACGATACCTCCTCCCCTCGTTAGTAGTACCTCAGTGTTGACTATTGTGGAGGTTACAAGCACCGTTTCAAAAGTATCTCATCAACTTTGTAAATGATTACAGTACTCAATAAATTTAGAAGTTAAAAAATATACCGTATGCTTGTTTTGGTGACTTTTTCATGGGTTATAGGTTTGTTTTGATCACTGACAAGTGTCCAGATATGAACCATCTTGCTTTTTCCGGGACTGTGCTTTGCATTCTCTCTGGTTATGCATATATACCAAATTGTACGTTTTAAATTATTTTACTTGTTTTAGGATAACTTGAATCACATCAGCTTGTGTTCATTTCCTGTGTTAGGGATAGAGATGTCTCTGATAATTTGGGGTTTTTCCGTAAAAATAATTTTACCATATTGGCTTCTCCATGTCAAATTCCTTGATTCCGTCTGTTCGAAGAAGGTATGTTTGCTGCCTGAGAACTGTAAAGGCGCATGTCCTTCCTCGTGTCACTCGTCCTCTGCACCTTTTACCTCATTCTCAGCTAGCATTGGCTAGGCTCCACATCCAGACTCCGGAGCCAGCTCCGAGGTTTCGGAGCCGGCTCCGAGGTTTGGGAGCCAGAGCAGAGTTTACCAGTGTTCTATGTTGTCCTTCGGAGCCAGGATATCCAGAGCTGCTGGATTTGGAGCCCGAGCCTGGAGCTGGAGCTGAGGTTCCGGAGCAGCTCCTCAATTTCCTGCTTCCACTGTTATATATATATGTATATATTTTTAAGCTCATTTCTTCAGTTCAAATAGTTCATTGTTAAAACTCGTAGTAAGTATTGAATGTCTTTGCATAAATATTTAACAAATCCAAATGTACTTTTTTATTATTTGACTTCCTTTAAACACGTTTAATGAACATCATTGGCAGTGGTGCTCAAGCACAAAAGAATACGAGATTCATCATTATCTCTTCTTTATACATACATTAAAACATCGCATATCTTGTGAAATTCTGATGTTTTGGGCAGTGGCCCTTTGACAGATCTTTGTGGCCAAGAGACGATGAGACACGTGACAGCCTGATTAATATTTATCCCAGACCCGTGGTTTCCTCCTCTCGACCGGATCAGAGGCAATAGCAGCACAGCACACGTGTTGGTTTGGCGCACTCTGTTAGCACGTGGATAGGATAAGGCTCACTAACTGCTTGGTCGTTGGATAGACCCTGGTGTGTGGGATATGAAGGCTAGAGTTAATGACCATACAAATAAAGAGCCCCCGTTTATGTGGGTTTCTCAATGAGCTGCTGGTCTTAAGCAATTGTATTGTGTTCTGCTGGTGGTGGCAATTGGCTTCTGCCTAACAGCATCATTCACAAGTGCTCTTCGCAGAGGCAGGTCCTGAGGCAATTGTATGAGCCGACAACACCTACTTCACTCAGCCCCACTGCATCAGCTTCCCTCCAGCCTGTGTTGCACTTACTTGACCCCTTCTGTCCCGCAAGACAAAATCTTCTCAGGCACATGGTAGCTGGGCATATGGACTACATTATCCAACACAGCCTTGCCCACTTTATGAGCCTACTTAAAGGACTTTTCCCAAATCCTTTCATTATTCACAGCTCCTCGAGCAATCCAACCGAGATATACTCGCAAGCAGGTTCGTCTAAAACGTCCATAGCTAGTGGAGGTGCTCTCTTTAAAGAATGTACATCTTGTAAGCATTTACTGTCAATATGCATGACCATGGCCAAAAGCCTTGAGTGTGTGTGAATGAGCGTGCGTGTTTGTGGGGAGCGGTGGAGTAGCAGCGCACCACGCTACCACCCTGGCTACCCGAGTTCGATTCCCACTCACGGCCAACACCAGTGACGATTATTTTAACCGGTCCTGGGCCTCCCCTAGATCGACTCAGCCTCAAACGAGTACCTGGTGCAGTGTGTAAACATCACCACTAGGGAGACAAAGGCGGCCGGGCGTGGTGGCTGGTCGCCCATCCCCTCGTGTGCCGGACAGTATCTGTCTTCATATGGGCACCTCGCTCAAAGCACTTGCCCCAACAGTCTGTTCAGGCTTCACGGGGATCTTTGTGTGTGCTTGTGGGTTTGTGTTGATCAGCGTTGGCGGGTGTGCACGATTGCAGAACTGTCTCCCGACTGCTTTCCAAATCACAGCCAGCATGGACAAGTTCCACCTCTGAATGGAATTCTGTTCATTGTGACTGTGCCCAAAGTGGGTGGATTCACCACATTTGGGATTGACAATAAGGGCATGGCCATGCCCGGTTAGGAGAATCAAAATTGTCCCCTTTAGACATATATCATGCACTTAGTGAAACTGCCAATCATTTTCTGAACTGAATTGGTCTAAGGAAATTCAGGACACCATCCCATTTACCTCAAGTGCAGCCTGTCCGATATGCGTGCATCTTAAGGCACTGATGTATACGTGCATACATGCCATGTCCATGGGTGGACGTGCGTGATCATATTGGTGAGTGAGATTATTGTGTGGCTTGTGTTCATCCTTCTCCTCTCCACTCCCGAGCAAGATGTGCTACCAAACCCACCCAATTTTCCCTATTTCCATAAACACCGGAGGCTCAATCGGTGTTGCACGCATTCCACCGGATGAGCTCTATATGAATGCCATTCCCTTGCCCACCAGAGGTGGCCAAATCCAGGAATGGTGGATTTGGTGGAGGGGCAAATGAAAAGTTGGCAATGCCATTTTAATTATGGGAGTTTTAATTTTGCAGCGTCAGTGGCCCCCACCACTCTTAACACCATTAATCTTTAAACACCATGTGGTTCCACTGAATTCTGCGTAATGGGAGCTCGAGGAAACCAGGTGGAGGTCACCACATGCATGCCGTTTTATAATCGCCACTCGGTAAGCAGGCAGACTCGATCAAGAACACCCTTGTGTATATGTTATTGTGGCCCGGTTTGGGTAGAATACAATAACATGAAACACACTTTCTTGATTACAGCATTGCATATTGAAATATCACATCGGCAGGGTTTCAATGAATGACGTTTTATTTTGCATTACTCTATAAAAGTGAGCAATTTCCCCTCCTAATAAATAAAGACAAATCACAATGACTATCATCCACGACTTCATTCTTCCTATTAACCATAATTATCTGCAGTTTTCCCATTCTGCTTTTTGAAACATCTTCCTATTATCCAATCATGTTTTGCAGGTGATGTATTTGTATGCAGATTCACCCTATTATAATTATCTGTGACAATCCGCCGTTAAGTGGAACAAAATCCACAAATAACATCGTGCATGAGATAATCAATGCGTGATCTTCATCGCTGACATCAAACATTTTTACTGGAGAGGTTTATTATAATGCAAACGTGTACAAATGTATTTACATTTCATCAGAGGGTGGGGTTACTCGGTGGGGGCTCCTGGCAAATGTTACATTTTCCATGTTTCATCTTTCACTGGTTCCCCACTCTTGATAGAAAATTCGTGTGTCACGCTGTATGTTTGAATGCCATGGAAACTGCTGCTCGCAGCAGGAACCGCGTTAACCCCGGTCTGGTCACGGCCAAGTACGTACGGTACCACAGGCCAACGGTGTGGCCCAAGATTGCCATGTGGATGGAACCATTGGACTAATGTTCCACGTTTGCCAAGAAGACTTTCTTGGCACAAGGCGGGTGGGCGGGGGGGGGGCATAGTTGTATTACGCATGGGGTATGCAAAAGACACATTTGTCATTTCAAACCCACACTTCATGGTCATTTAAAAATCATCCGTGCGCAGGGGTCTCTTTGCAATTGCTTGCTCACACCGGCCCTGGCAGAAGTAGGGCCTCCACGCGAGGCAGTGCTCTTCACCAATCTCCAGAGGGAGGGCCACTTTTGCCGATAAGACATCAGTGTGTGAGGGCCGCCACACATTTGAAACGATTGGGGCTTGACAGCAGCACGATAATTGGGGGTTTTCACTCTGTGCGTAGTCTTGTCGGGGCCCGCACTCAAGGCCACCAGGGGCATGGTGGGACGCGATCGCCACTCGTAGCCGGCAGTGCCGGCGAGGTGAATGGTGTCGGGCCGTTCGTCCTCGGTTAACCCCCTGGGGAGCATCGTGACCCCAGGGAGGGGGCTGGGGGGATGACGTCACAAAAGGAAGCTGTGGCTAGGGGCGGGGTGAGCTGGGACTGGATAAAAGCCGGGTCCCTGAGCGGTCCCGGCAGTCGTCGTCCGCCTTGAAGACCTAAAGAGAAGATCCCAAAGGGCAGAGCCCGAACCCCTGGCTCGGGTCGGGCTTGTTAATGTTGTTAATGTTGTTAATAAACGTGTTGCCTCCCATGAAGCTTCCTCCCATTTGTACCCACGACACAATGAAGAACACCGCTCTCTCTCTCTCTCTGCCGCGGTGTTGTGGAACTTTGGGGGGGGAGGGAGAACCGAGAGCCCCGCACCTCGCCAATTAGTCTGAGAGAGAGAGAGACACCAATACACTCACGCAGACACAAAGACAAAGATCCCCCATATAGCCCGAGCAGACGGTTGGGGCAAGTGCTGTTAGCGAGCATCCTACGAAGGTGACCACGAAACACGAGGGGGCGGGTGGCCGGCACCACGACGCCCCCCCCCCCCCGCCTGTGTGTTCCGCGTGGCGATGCTTGCACTCATTTTAGGCTGAGTCGACCTAAGGGAGGTCCCAGGACCAGTTCAGATTATCGTCACCGGCATTGGCCGTGAGCTGGATTTGAACTCGGGTGGACAGGGTTCACGAGCTCACCGCTATACAACGACAGCTCCCCCAATTCACAGACACGGACACGCAACAGAGACACGAATATGCCCTCGGCGGAGCTGGGCACATTCTTGTCACGGATTTTTCGCAGCGCCGCTTGATTTCCCTTTGTTTCTCGCACGAGAATCGGGCGAGGGATCGTGAACGATCTCTCAGCCTCCGGTGGTGTTGCCACCGTGGGTGGTGCTTTGATTCGGAGTTCCACGAAGATGCAGCGTGCTCGAGGGATATTACGAAGAGGTGTCATGTGCCCACACTTTACCTCCACCATAAGCGACCTGCCGATGGACTACAATAATTATAATCATTATTGTATCATGGGCTGTTACCCGTTTATACTGCTGGGTGGATAGAGAGGTGGGGGGGGGGTGCGGATTTCAGCTTGCTCCCTTCATCGTTTCAATCGTAGCGCCTGGAGATCAAATATAACTGGCAACCTCTGGATTGCAAGTACGGTGTGCTCAGCCATAGATTCCAAGAACACAGGATGAGATGTTACTATCCTTTGTGCAAGCACTTCCAAGAGTTCATGAACAGTGAGCCTGGTGAAATTTGGGGAGCGCATCGTCGTAGTGTACCTTTGGTTCCTAGGGTGTTTTGTTCAGGGGTCTGCTTAAGCCAAGCACATTGTTGGGGAGGGGGGATGCTGGATGGATGTCTCCAAGGCCTCTTACTGCATTTCCGGGGTTCACAATGTTCTAACTCCGTAGTCTACTCAGGATTTCCACAGTCACTTGCAATCATTAAAACTGTTTTTAAACTGAGAACAAAATGAAGAGTGGGCTGTGGTTTCTGCACCGAATAAATGGCCGTTGTCCAAGGTGAGGCTGCTATGGGAGAGCACTGGTACAGAATTATTCTGGATTAAGATTTGTGTATAAGGTGGTGGTGGGTATGTGTTTTTGGTCTGTGGCTATTTCACCATGCTAAATATCTGCATAAGATCATACAGAGGTGGCCAAAGGTTATTTTTTGCTTATGTGAGTATACTGGAGTGTGTAAGTTATAGATGCTTAATACAGGTAGCAGTTAATGAAGCCAAAACACAACACCGTTGTAAGCTTTAAATAAAGCTAAAGTTTTATTTTCCAAAAATAGACTCAAGGTTCTACCACTTACAATAAGTAAACACAGTGGATAATCTACCCATACAAATTAGAAGTTCACACAAACCCCCTCTGAACAGTGTTGACACAGCAATTGTGTTTACATTGGACAAATATATCTGCAGTGAGGTCCACAAAATGGGTTTGTCATGGCACAACCAAGCATATTGGAAACTGATGGATATGTATACTGTATGGCCATGAAGGCACTAAACCTTACATAAAAAACACATGGTTGTGAATAGGTTTCAAATTGAAAATGAACAAGAAAACTATTTTACAACAGAGCAGGCACCGATAAAATATAATTTTTGCAGCGAATAGCGGCGGATACAGTTTTATTCTGGCCATGAATTATGCAAAGTACAATACTGTAAATTAATTTGAAAATACTTTCCTGAACAGTAACCGGTGGAAAAAATGCTTTTTGGTGCTCTGGAAATACAAAACATAATTCTAAAACATGTTTAACACAAAGGTAATGATTGGAATTGAAACAAGATGTATGCAATTAAAGTTTCTCAACACGACATATTTTATCCAAATGCTGTATATTACATTTTTGTAGACATGAAGCACACAATGGATCTAATTCATGTGTTGTCAACGGGGCCATTTGGCACCAAAACCTCTCTTAATTGACGTGATCCTCTTGACCCGACAACCAATGCGGAGGTTGGTCGGGTGATTCCACACTGATTGGCTGACCTTTGACGAAGTAAGGTTAATCGGGTATTTTGGCCATCGAGGCATATGATGTAGGCCCGAGCTATGCAGTCGAATTGGCTTTTAAGCGGCAATATTAAAAGTAACCTTGTGGTTATGTACCAATGAGGTTACTGGAGTTACATCATGAGACCTCCTTTGCCAGTATTAAATTATGATATGGTTTTCCCCTTTCTGGCAATAAAACAGGTGTTAAGATGTTAAAACACCAAACTGAAACCTTTGCAAGGAATCACGTCTACATTAACCACATATACTTGCGGTGCACATGCAAACAAAAAAACATGCTCTGACAGTATGTAAATAAAGCTGTCTCTGGTGTGGACCAATCAGTCTCAAAGACAATGCACATACTGTGAAAGCATGTTTTTTTGTTTGCATTTTCACCACACGTGTATGTGGTAAACCCTACTACAGTTCCCATCCTTTTATTGCTAGTATGGACAGTGCATTTCAGATGCCTCCCTTTGGAACTATTTTGGCTCTTTAAATAGTTTTTGGCCGTAGTTCCAAACTATTATTTGCCTGATTACATGACTTTAAAGTACAATATTTTGTATGTGATCAATGTCCACATTTTGTTGATTTCAAATGTGGTAATCATTACGTTACCTATGCTGCATTGCAGAGCTCCGCCATATTTCAATGGAAAGATATGTAATTGGATAACCCGTAGCAGTGTCATGACCTTGACTCAGAATAAAGATTTGTGAGGCTGGCCAGGAAGAGTAAAGTTCTCCTCATTGTGAGGCCATCCTAGCGACCCGTGACAAATCCAGTGACTTTCTGGGACGAGGACAATATGCAATTCATGAGCAATTCCAGGTAAGTATTCAGGATCGTGCATCCATTGACTATGTTTAATACTTGGGAAAATATTGAGATTTTTTTTATCTATCTAGTGACATGCAGTGACTTTCTGAATTCTGTTTAACACGTAGGCTTTCGCGACCAATATTATTCATAATCAACGTTTTTGGGTTTAGATCGCGTTATTTATAAATGTGTCGTAACCCTCCACCACCCGACACGGCCAATCAGTAAAATAGTGTCACGTTGACAAAAGACAAATAGTTCACTGCTTTAGCCCACCGGTGTGTTGAAGCGTGAAACCACAACATTTACAATTTGAGTACGACGTTTCGCTGGTAATTGCATCCAGCATCATCGGGCGAATTCTGTTTGGTGATTTTTCGATTTAAGGATTTGGAAACACTGCCCTCACAGATGATATTATGTGAAAAATTCTGTGAAGTTTCTTGACCAACACTGCCGAGAAGTACATTGGTCTGGGTGAGGATTACCTTGCAGGCTGAGCTCCCAGAGTGCACTGCTTCACAACCATGGGCAGTGGCAGCTCCTGAAAAACACATTTGAGTCGCTTGGGAGTGTCTTGTCATCTGGTTATTTTATTGTCAAGATGTTTCATTTTTATTTGTACTTTTTAGCACTTGTTATTGCTTTGGTTTGCATTGTTTGGTGTTTTGTCAATTCCGTCCATATGAATGTGAAAGAAAATAATAAAAAATTGGTACAAACTCATTCCCAAACCACATCTACTTTGGCTTCACAGTCAAGAAGGCAAATTGCTGGAATTTAATACACTAAACCATGTCCCTGCTTTAGCTTATGCCAACACATGAATCAGACACCATCGTTCACAGATATATTTTGTACAGTGCTAACAATAAGATGCACCATATTGTATTCCTAGGTATGTTGTGTATGCATGTCATTTGTGGAAGTGTTTTAAATGTTAACAATCAATACTGAGGTACATAGATAATGTTGTACCTCTTTACCTGATTATGACCATTCCATAACCCCTTTTGCAAAACACTCGCTATCAACAGGTTCTCGTCTGCTCAAATGTTTTTATTTATGTCAAGACCTGCACCCTAAATTTTCAACATATAATGTAGTATGTAGAAAAAATACTTTTCTGTATTGCGATTTTTTATTTCTTGGAAAAATTACGTTAAATGTTTACCTTTTTGTATTTAAAACTGTAAGTGTTGTTAATACAATGTTATTATCATTATGACAATGCCGGGGTGCTATTAAGTGTGAAATTGACGAGGGGATTGCCCACGTTTTTAGGCATGACAATTCAGATTCTTCACGCAGCATAAAAAAATGGCACATTTCATTCAGTTTTTTTTGGTTTCCGCACAGGCAAGCGCCACTGTGAAAATAATACGTCCGCACAGATAGCGGCTGCACCACCATGCGATCGGGTAAATCAGCGTGACCTGTTTTGGACTTTTCTCCAGTAAGCGCCGAATATTTTTTAAATAGGACAGTGTCAAATTGAATAAATCTGTGTTTTAAACAGTAATGAAATCCATTATATGGGCATTTATTAAAGTGGAACGTCTAATAAAAAATATAAAAAGGTTACAGCCTTGTGTTGTTACATGAAAAATAGCAGGTCAGCCATCCAGGGCTAATAGAATCTGACATCAAACAGCGTTACCAACACCGGTCAGGAAAAAAGCACCGTCTTGTAAATTTTCACACAATGAAAACATCTGTAACATGATGGCCCTCATTTCCTGAGCTTTGCTGCATGAACCCCCTCCCATGTAAGTTCAGTTTACATCCATATTTTCAAACGTGTATATCAATATACATACACACATGTTTACATATACAGAGAGGGAATATTGTCAATGGAAAAAAGGCAATTTTGACAAAATGGCATGGGTAGAAATGAGGCCATACAGCACTGCACACTCATCTAACATTACAGTAATTCATACACAACAGGGTCAGCATAATTTACAGGATCATGAGAACTGACTTTATCCTATCCATGTATGAAACAGAAGCATATTTTCTTATGCAGTAAGACCACCGAGAATTGTCCTTCACGTTACAGTCCGTACTTGCAAAATTTTTACTTGAAATTTGCAAACTGCAACCACAACAACCCATCATGCTGCCACCACGTCTACAATACAAAGCCATCAAATGATCCGTTCATGCAAGCAATCACATTTTGCAAAGTACGACATACAGTACAACGCATTTTAGTCGCATACTTTTCAGCAAAAGCAGGAAATTGTAAAAAAAATAGTAATTAAAACACTGCCTCAATGGTAACCTATAATTTCATGGCTACGTTTTAAATTTGGACAACTGAAATTGGTAGATATAGCTTTCGTAAATTGACATTGTACTCCATGAAAATGTACTATTCCCATGAAACTTATACTCCTTTATTGTCTATTCAAATTGGAAATGCACACCTTAGCTTTTCATGCCATTTCGACCTTTTTAAAATAGCCAACTTTTATATATGAAATAAAAACTCTAAAGTTTAAAAACACGTAGAAAAATGCATGATTGGAATTACATTCAGAGAGAGATAATATGCAGGTTAGAGACAACATTTAAGGACATTACCGTATGAAGAAAAGTAAGTAGGACAGGACACATCTCAAGAAGGGATCATGACCAATGGTCAAGAGCAAGGGTCGGCAACCAAAATAACAAGAAGAGCCATTTTTTTCGAATTCCGTAAACTCAATATTTTAAGAGCCGCAATGCATGTGGTGAATACGTGACGGTGATTCTGAGTAACATCACTAAGCAGTCCTTAAAGAGCTGCATGAGGCACCGAAAACCGCAGGTTGCCGACCCCTGGTCAAGAGTTATGATGGCGTGACCGCTACGGGAATACAATGCGTCCAAGAGGAGTTTCTCGAAGGAGATTGAACAACAAAATCAGCCGATTCTAGGTGCAGCTTCGAGGTGCATTGTTGGATTGTTGGGGGAGATGGTTAAGTAACAGCTTGGAGAGGCTTTCACCCAGCAGTGGATTCATCGTGGCTGATGACGATAAATTACAAGTACTCTACCGTTTAAAACCTCAACGGATTTTGACAAATTAGACCATCATTGGCGTTTGTTATATAGACCTACTCTTTTAAATGTGCTTGTCAGCAAATGTGATTTTCAAACAGTAGAAGTGAGAAAGACGAGTTGGGATTATCAGTGTTAGTGACATATCAAGCAGCCAGGATGTATCATACTCCGCCCAGATTTGATCCAATCTGTAAAATGTGACCTTCATCTACATTTTTTCTTCTTCCCAAAGACATGTTTTTCAAAGCAACAATGTTTTAGTAAACGTGAAAATTACTCATTGTAAAACTACGGTTGAATAATGTGCGATTCCAGGAAAAAGAGCAGACAATGCATTGGAGTAGGTTCTGCCAAAATATCCAGCAAATTCGTTAATGTTTATTGTCTTTAAGTTGAAACGTATTGTATAATGCAGTACGCCTAAGCAACTGACATATAAGCACGACAAACGCACGCACATTGTTTCAGTGATTTAAGCCGTGCTCTTCCTCCATTGTGAGCATTTCTTGGTGCCCATCATACATTCACACATGCACTGTATATACAAATACACCGCATGGCATTTATATAAAAAAATAAGCATAAATGCCCTGAAGTGGGTATACCGCGCAAATATGTTAGTTGTAAGCAAACAAAAACATTCACTAACACGCAGATATTTCATTCACTAATACATTCAATAACATTCACTAACACACTAATATTTCATTCACTAACACATTCAATAACATTAACTAACACGCTGATATTTCAGACCCACAGCTCTTCCAGTGACTGCCATTTGTATAAAACAAAATAGCATTATTTTTAAAAAGGCAGTTATTAAACTCAACATACAGCATTATCAGTGATAATTATTTTAAATGACACAAAAGACAGAAAGGCACATTAATGAGAACAGCATTAACCAGTAGACCATGATTCCAGTTTTGAGAATGACTGAAAAAAATTCGTTATATAACTCTTTCAATAATTTTTGTTCTAAGCCCATCATTCAAAACACATAATATCCATTCCACTCTGCTGTTACGTAGCATTTACTATACTGGCTATACCATTATAGTCACAAACGCCAACAGTGTCTTAATACTATACTGTACACACACAAATACTTGACTCCATGCATTAATGGCCAGTGGTAGCAGCACACCTAACAAAATGAGGCAAGGATAGGAAGGTATATATTGGAGAAAGGTGCAAATGATGCATTATTACAACCTTGGCACCAGGATATCCTTTAAAATCATCCACTATCACTTTCCATCAGGCTGGCCTGTGTCCATGGCTTTGTAAGTAGGCCTTCGTCATTGTAAGCTGGCTAGAGCTGGGTCACCCTGACTTTTATTTTAGATACCAAGCACTAAGAGTACTGTTTATAAAAAAAAAAGATCAAATAAAAAATATACTTTTTTAAATTTTACACAATCTATAAAAGCCATTGTTATTAACACGTTGACCAGCCAAGCCCTTGTGTCGATGATTATCTTATTCCTCCCACAGTGGCCAAAAGCATGTCTCGGGCAGCTGTGTCACAATGGCCACCGGTAGTCCGTAGGAGCCCATGGGTACAGCGCCATACGATCCACGGTGGGTCGTAAAGCCTTTGTCATAGAAATGAGCATGGTTTAAAGATAAGTTTCTGTTGCTTACTCCATAACCGACAACTGCAACTGACCCATTGCAGACTTCCGCTCAGTTAAAGTGCAACCTCCCTGGAAGTGTAAAGAGGCCGTAGTGATATAAATCCAGGGGTGTGCCTGTTGCTCTGTTTATCAATAGAACACAGTGCTGGGTCTTTAATGAGTGGGCTGGGATCCAACCTGACATTGAACATTTTATTTCAGGTAGACATAATTAGAATTACCTGGAACGTTTGACCCTTGAGAGGGCCACAATGTTTCAACTATGGAAATTGGTGTTTTGCAAATGCAACATTAGCATGCACTTCCTGAGGACCCACGCATATGAGGATCTCTGTCATGCCCTTTGCCAACAACTTTTAAATCCTTTGTTAAAAGTGAATATGGCCTGTACTGCAACCCATTCCCCATGATTGACTACAGTAGAGTATTTTAACACATATGTCAAAAGACTACACGGCAGAATGTTTTTTGTAACCGGATGTCCTGAGGTCCTTTTTTGGATATGCAACACATTGCTATTTGAACTTCAAATGTTACATAAACCAGCAAGTGTCTGCATTACCAATGGGTCTCGTACAGCAGCAGCCAAATCCATGATTAATATGGATTCCAAAGGTTGTGCAAAACAACTGCTGGGTTTTTTTAAAAGCAGGAATTTTCAGGATAGCGTGCAAGTTGTGACACGGGCAAAAGTGTGTACGCATGGATGTGTGATTTTACTTTGTCAGCTGTTTCAAGAAATGCATTCATACTTTGCATTTTATATTGACACGTGAAATTATTCTTATAATTGGGGAACACATGAATGTATGGTACTAATGAATAATAACAAAAATAAAAACCAAGCAATAAAAACGGTAATTATATTACTGACCCAATGGCAGTTAACACAATTTGCTTTGGTGTCTTAACATTTTCAGTAAATGCTTAAAAAATATCTGCTTGGCTAAAGTAAGGTGAGCTGCCCAACTAGACAACACATCAACCAGTATAACAGCTGACAGAAGAAATGCTTCTCAAGACCTACTTGCCCAATTACAGGCAAAATCAACAATACTTGCTTTTTTAAAATCAGGACAATAGTTACTGCAGTGTCAGTACTGGACTAGTAATGTGAGAAGTCAACAGCAGTTACACTCTGGGAGATTGACTCCTGGTATAGGAATGTGGAATTACTAGAACGCGTTCAGGACTGCCAATGGAGATGAGCACTTCCCAACACTCATTTGAGCATTGAAACACTTGGACTCTTATATATATTTCATAACCCAACCCAGATCACCTCTCTTCTCTCCTCTTTCCTTTCTCCTTATTTCTAGATTGTTACCCCTTTGTTCCTTCCCCCTTCAATGTATTTCTTCATGACCCATTGCCCGTGCATTTAAGAGGATGCAGTCACAAGAGGTTACTTGTCATCCGAAACGCCGAGGTTAAGCATCCTCTGTTCAAGCCCTTTGGTGGTGCGCAGATCCCCGTTGACAGTGGCGTTGCCAGGTGGCGAGGTGATCCTGCCTGCTGATGCCTCGCCATTCCAACGCTGAGCTGAGTTCTGGTTACAGCTCTTGTACTGCACAGAATGAACAGAACAACAATAATAGATTGCATGTGTCATACGTGACAGCAACCACGGATGATGCAGTCGGGGCTGTGGCTTCCAGTTTGCGCTTACAAGAGCTAGTAGAATGGAGTACAGAAAGTAGGTTGCTGACCCAATCTCTTGGGATTTTTGAGTGATGTTCCCTCATATGCATGGGTTTTCTCCAGGTACTCCAGCCTCGTCCCAAGTGCAAAAATACTCATCGAGGAATTGGGAAAATATCACAGGGAACTATCTTCCTGAATGTAAGAGCTGCGACTTAGCTAAGGTTTTTGTAAATTATTTTGGAAATGTTATAATATATAGTATTATGATTGAGCGGTGGTACAGTGGTCAGTGCACTGAGATAATGAACCTGGCGACCCGGATTGATCCCAGGCGCTGCCAATATCAGTGGCAAGAGATATTAGAACCTGGTCTCCCTTCAACCCTCACTGACCACGATAGTAAAGTATGGTCAAAAAGCCTCCATGACTGACATGGAGGCTTTTGGTAGATTAAGAATGGCTGTCATTAATTTCATTAATATGGTGTAAGAGAGTGTGTATTTTTTTCTGGGGGTTACTGACCTTTCTGGAGAGGTTGTGGCACAAGCAAACGATGGACAGAACCAGCAGCAACACATTTTTAGTTTCCTGAATAGTACTGTCCACCTACGGGGAAAATATATCAACAATTAAACAATTCTCCACTGTGTATATATATATAATTCGCATGTGTCTGTGCGTCCATCTGTCACGCTCTGTATCTCCCAAACAGTATGTCGGAGAAAAGGACTAATGAAACAAAACACGTTTCTCCTGACGAGGACATTACCGGAAGAGTGTCATCTTTCTTAATTGTCAACATTTTGACTCTGAAAACTCGAAAACAAATACCTTGGAATATACAATAGACTACCATTTGTAAAGGATGATGTCATTAGAACGCCGGATTGCACTTTATTGCTCAAACCGGATATAATGATTAAAGGGTGCTTGCAAGTCGGATAGCAGTGGCATTGGCAAACAAAAAGCACCTACAATTACAATATTTGGCGAAACAAGTCATATTTTAGAATCCGTTTTGGCATGTGTAATGTGTATGGCAGCTTGAATGATCGAGACATCTAGGTATCATCATATTTATGAAGAGATACATGGCTGCTTGAAAGTAGGCCAGCAAGTGTTACTGCCAAACGGACTTTAGTTTCGAATTCACATTTGCATGCAGGATGTCAGATTTACTATGCCACTGTGAAATGTAATTGGCTGTAATAATGGAGAACATGCCAAATTTGTATTAAATAACTTTAAATATTTTTTTAAAATTTGCAATATAGTACTCTAATTGTACCAAGTGGGATAAGCATACTGCACTGTGTTAGATTTTCAGACAGGCTTAATGGGAGTGGGGAGTGATATCTGAAATGGTCTTGGACACCCCCTTTACAAACCCCTGAAGTATGGTCAAAAAACCTCCAAACCCCGTGTCTCACACAGACTGCGGAGGCCTTCATCCAGCAGTGGATTGACAATCGGTTGTACAAATCGTGAGATTCTGAGCAACTTAGAATATCTGTAGAAATGAAATATAGCAGCTAACTATTTTTTGTCTCTTCCGATTGTATGATCAGTGTGGGCAAAGCAGCACTATTGCATTTGGGAAATTTGAAATATCAGAAAATGAGAGTGTATCAATGAAACCATGGCATGTGAGTGATTATGGTAACATTAGAACACGAGAACTCAAGCAACATACAGAAGTATTCGTGGGTATCTGGCAGAAAGCTTTCAACAGGCACAATGAAACAAAACAGCGGGCAGAGAAACGAATAGGGTAAAACAAAAACTATAAGCAGGAGTGGGTAATTGGCTAAGTCTGGATTTTACTGGCATACTTTTTTGGGGGGATGTTCAAATGTCCACAGGCAATGTTATAATAGCTAGGTGAGGCTACAGGATCCTGAATTTAAATGTAAAAATATGTAATATATTGTTTTATCATAAAGTATTCTACACATGAAGGCGATAGTATTTGAATAGCTGCCATTATCTTTTTGTATGCAAGACATATACTGTTTCTTGGGCCAACATATCGAGGACACATTTGAAAGCCCATTTCTATGATCTTAAAGACTACATTTTTTATAGTCTTTGTTGTAAAACAAACTTCACGTATACAGACATGCTGGTAGGAAAAAAAGGTGGACAAAAGCAAATACTTTCAGATTCCTCGTTCATTTTTTTATCAGATCGCATCAGTAAAATGTGTATCGTGACACCCTTCTCCGCCAGACACAGCCAATAAATGAGTTGTCACGTGAACAAACGTGGCAATGTATTACTGCTTCGGCAAATCGGTGTGTTGGAGAACAAGCTCACAACGTTTAACAATTGGGTAGAAAGTTTTGCTGGTAGTTGCAACCAGCGTCATCAGTCAGATGCCATAATTGTGACTGCTTTGCAGAGTATTGGCCGCGAGAGCCTCCGTGTTAAGTGCATTCAGTACAAACCTGTACGGGCAATTAATTTCAATTATAACAGGCAAAAATGACAAGGACTTGTTTGGGACCCTTTTTGTAAACATATGGCAATTAACCAAGGAACAATGAAAACAATTGTAACATCTCTCTCAGTTTCCATGGAATGGGATTCTCAGCCCTGATAAATAAAATGTAAAAATGAATTGCAAAATGCAAAACCCTTTATCAGTCCACTGCGGGATTAAGTCCACTCCACGCCTTTCAGTCATGGCAGTGTTGGCTCATAATTCACCACAAAACGCACACTGACACCTATTTGAATGCAGTCACATGATTACCCCGCACAGAAATCCTCTCTCATCAAGACGCTCATACATCGGGCTAAAAAAGTGTCAGATGGTGATAGTCTAAGAAGTGATTAAATTAAACATGCAATTGAACGGTTAAAATGATCCACAAATCTAAAAATAACACGAGAGTTGAAACTGACCAAATAATTAAAAATATTAACATACCGTGCATTGCGGGAGTAACTGATAAACTAGCCAGATTTTTGGAAAAACAAAACATCCGAGTCAGATTTAGTATGATACATAAAATACAGAGATGAATATGTGGTACTAAAGACGTATTACCGAAGCAATCAACAGAAGGTGTGTACCAAATTAATTTCACTTGTGGAAAATGCTATGTTGGGCAGACAGGCCGAATGATCAGCACGAGACTAATAGAACACCAAAGGAACATTAAATACTGCCAAATACAACTACGGGAGTGGCAGAACACACGTGCCAACAAGGACACTCAATTGATTTTGATAATGTTGAAGTTCAAAACTAGTTACTATTGTTCGGCTCAGTGCTGCTTGGAAGCGAATCAAACAATACTTTGTTTAAAGCATGCCTATACAGGTCACCATACACCAATGGGGATTACCTGTACGCAGACAATAACAGGCTACACAAACGACAGGAGGTACAGGAACAATGTGCATGCATAATGTACGCTGATTACCATAGGAATAACCCAACCGGAAATGGACACCCATTGTTATTTATATGCATTCATTAATCTCCCCCCCTTCCCACGTGAAGAGCTGACAAGTGATGTCATCATATCTATCCCTCTATTTAAGGAACGAAACAGGAGGATTTCTCCACAAATCTGGCTATCCACCTGATGATACTAGTTGTAATTACTGGTGAAACATCGTACTCAGATTGTAAATGTTGTGGAAATTTAACACGTAGGCTTTCGCGACCAATATTATTCATAATAACGTTTTTGAGTTAGATCGCGTTATTTATAAATGTGTCGTAACCCTCCACCACCCGACACAACCAATCAGCAAAAAAGTGTCACCATTCTGGCGAATTGCCCGATGATGCTGGATGCAATTACCAGCAAAACGTCGTACTCAAAAATTGTAAATGTTGTGGATTCACTCTTCAACACACCGGTGGGCTAAAGTGTGAACTATTTGTCTTTTGTCAACGTGACACTTTCTTGCTGATTGGCCGTGTCGGGTGGTGGAGGGTTACGACACATTTATAAATAACGCGATCTAACCCAAAAACTTTATTATGAATGTTGTGGAATTGTTCTCCAACACACCAGTGTGCTGTATTAGTAACGAATTGGCATGTTCTGTTTATGTGACAACTTAAATCAAATGTCTCTGTCTAATTGGAGGAGTAAACTAATCTACCTTTGTCTTGAGGTCGATCTGCACTAACCTTTGTGAAAGTAGCCACCTTGCCGTGCATGGGCGTGCGGCAGGCAAGTTGTATCTGTTGGCACAAGGCTGGTAGCCGCCCTGCTTCCACCTGCAGCAGTGAGCGGTCATCTTCCTCGGGCACCTATAGCAATGATCGCAGCAGTGAGGACACGGCAGACAGAACTATGGTAAATGCATTGTTAGGCTGCAGTGTTGCACGTATGTCCAAATTTCTGCCCTCAAGGCCCTGAAATCTTGACTAGCCTTTTGCCTGTCCAAGGACGGTTATAATCCCTTGTTCATCATGACGTCCTTTTTACTTTGATGTCTCAACAGCGTTACGGAGATCGCGTGACGTGAGAGTTCTGCCTTTGTAGTGAGGGTTGTAAATTGACGCCGAGGAGGGGGAGGAGGCATCTCGGCCCCCCATGTGGAGTGACGTCACCCGCTAATTATTATCAATGAGGGGGGGTGTCCATTTGGGTGACGTCACCTGCTCATGATTATTAATGAGGGGGGCTGGTCGAAATGGAGTGACGTCACGAGCATTGCACACAGACATTCTTGGCTTATTATAGTAGGTAATGGTCAAATTAAATGCAATGGAAAGTCGTGGTTTAAACTCTAAATCGGTGGAGTTGTGTATGAACTCTTCGAGCTGCTCTTATGTGATTTTAAAAGATCATTGCTTCATTATACAATATTATACGTACTTGAATACTGAATGAGGATAACAGGTTAGACTCGAAATTTGTTACGTAATGCAGTGTCTCCCCTCCGTTATGCAGTATTGGACGTAAAAAATACATTTAAAAAATGAATGTACTGTGTGCTGTGAAGTTGTAAAAGTGATGCTTTGTGAAAATTAGATAAGCATGAGTATTAAGTAGGGGTGTAATTAAATTTTCACCCGTACTCCCAGCAATTTGATTAACTGTTGCGATGCAGGGTAGTGATTCAATTGAATAATTTTTTTCGAACATTGTGGTAAATTTTTGGGCCTCTAATGGCTGCAGAGATCATACGTGACCATTATATCTAATACGTAAATATAAAATTATTATGATGCATGTATTGCAACCTTAATAATCCACATTATGTAAGGAATTGATGCATCATTACACTTGTAATATTAAGGCATCAATATCCATCCTCAAAACAGTTACCCATTATTATTGTTATCATGACTACCAACAGGGCACACAGTATGCAATGAAAACATCACAATATTTGAGTCGGTTAATTTTTGTGGCTGATAAGCTCACCAGCATGGAGAATGTCCGCAGGGCTGCGCATAATCTGATTCCCTCTTCAGAAAAAACCTGAAAGATTAACATCGACTTGTTAATTATGAATCCCCATCTCCTGAGGCATAGCTGTACTTACTGAGGCACAGGTACGCTTTAAAAGGTGGTCCTTTAATATAAATGGATAAAGCCAACGCACTATCACTCTTAGTTTTGGAATTGGACACCGGCGTTTATTAACTATTTTTAAATTAACTCTTTGATTTGTTTTACATTTTACAAAAAAAATATCCACAAGATATTATGAAATGAATCAAAAGCAAAAGTAATTTTACAGTTTGGAAATCTGTCCTTACAACTTCACTCCGAAAGAGAATTCCGTTGCCCATCAATTGTTTCACTTTGTACAGTGATATTGCAAGTTCAACAATAGCTTCCAGATGTTTTGGTATTTAAAAATCCCAAACAAAAACAACTTTTCACATGCAAATTGAAATTCTTCTAAACCGGTAATAAGTTTTATTTTTGTACTGTTTAATGTGCCAACCTTGAAGAGGTTCAGACCCATTTTAGAGTCCTGCACTCAAATTTTACCAATGCTGGCAGCGTTGACTGAGGGTTAATCAAGTGAAAACACCCTGGCAGACTTGGACACCCAGGGTTGCCAGTCATCATCTCTCGTGGCCACAGTATTGTCTTCACCAAGAGACGTTTACATTTTTTGTATTTTAAAAGTGGTGTTGTTCAGCGGTTCACATTTTTCGTACAGGGAATTCAACGATAGCGAAAGTCGAGTGTGCATGTTTGGTCAGTCAAAAAGGACACAATCATGTTTTTTTTATGTTGGTGGCTATATGATGATACAAAATAATATTAGGCTAATACTGTACTTCTTTTAAATGTCGATAAGCCCACTGCCAGAGCATCTGTTCTTTCAAGTGGCATCAATTGAATGTGTGTCCTCTTGACACCACCTTTTGTTTTTGAAATCTTAATTTTAGTAATTCTCTGGAATGTTTAATAGCATACGTTATCTCATAACTCAATGGAAATAGACCGGAGTCGCCAAACCATGCGAGGTACCTAGTGGATAGGCAGTAGCGCCATAAAAAAAATGTAATGGTAATGTTATTATACCAATACTCTTTGTTTTTTTCGGTGAAGTCACGTAAGTAAATAAAAAAAATCACGACGTTTCGGGCGCAACACAAGCGTCCTTCTTCAGGTGGGGACAACTTAGCAAAAGCACACCACTTAAGCGGTGTGCTGACTTCACCGAAAAAAAAAACAAACAGTATGAATCCTTGCAGTCACGAAAACTTCAAATCTAGAATTATACCCATAATTTACCTCGGCTTGATGGAACAGGTCATGGGTAGTTTTCAGCAGACCTTCACCCCTAAAACAATACACAACACACCTCTGATTATAGAAGAATATCATTGACAACAGTGCATGCAGAGTATATAATTCTACGAGTTCACTCGCATAAGCATTGGACTTTTTTTTCAAGGTTGCATGTCATTTGTAGGTGTATATAGGGTATATACATTTACTGAACATCAACAGCCAATTTCCCCCACGATTTCCTGCATTGTACAGCATCTTGAGATGAGGTTGCATGTAAGTACTTAACAAATGTTGTTGTGTATCCACTGCTGGATAAAAACCTCCCCGTGCTGTCAACATCCCCCATCGTTTCATGTTGCCAAAGTCCATCACTCTCCTGCGCATGAGCTGATCTCATCATTGCGTCTCCACGGTGATTGTCCTCTGGGCATGCTCCCTCCTTTGGCTGCCATACCTTCACCAGTCCGATTAGCGCAGTTGGATACGCACGGTCCCAACATACACACACATACAGTCTCGTCCATCGGCTACCATCCCTTCTACTAATTGTGTGCTGCCGAAGCCCACTTTCCTTAACTCGAATCTGTATTTTTTTCTTCTGAACAACATTCCTCTGTCTGGCTCAGTGTTAATCAACTGGGAAAATAAAAAAACTCAAGTTTTATCCAAGCATGCATTTGTCCATGCCTCTTTGCACACTTTTCAGCGTTTGCTTACATTTTTGTCCATGTTTGTGTTTCTGATCGATAATAACTATGAGTTTTCTTCTTCAAGTACATTGGTTTTTGCTTTCCATTATCAACTTAGGATTTCCCAAAAGCAATTCATACAGTTTTCGTTCACCTATTTATTTAATATATTTTTATCCTCATAGGCCTGAAATAATTGCCTTGGGAAAACATCATTTATTGTGTTTTCCAGTTGTGTCCTACAAGACTGTTATCCTTTGTATATTAACCTTGCTGTGAATAACTTTCGTTTTGTTCATATTTATCGTGAGGTCAACTATGCATTCCCCCTTTGTAATGTTTGAAAACATTTTGTGTATTGTGTAGTTCATTTGAATTGGTTGTTATGGCTGTTGTTAGTAAATCTGGGATGATTAGTACTTTTTCAAGGTACATGCATTTATTTATTTCCCTATCCAATACAATGTTTGCAAATATTTTTTTTCTATCTCCTTATGCGTGGTTTTGAGAATTTCTAAATTTTTTATGAAAGCCTTGGTTTGCAAAGCGCTGAAAAGGCTGCACAAACCCCCTGAATCAGTTGCCTTTAATTTTTTTTTATATCTACGTGACTTTACCGAAAGAACAAGAGAGTATGCCTTTTCATAGTTTATATTGCAGTATTTGATATTCATTTGTCTTTTCTAGGATGTGATTAATAATGAGTTTGTGGTTAACTGGTTAAAACCCCTTTTCTATTTAGAAAAAAGAGGTCTACTAATTGTGTTGCAAAAAAAGGATCAACTGCTTTGATGATGTCCGCAGTTACTCCATCTGATCAATGCATTTTCCACATTTTTTTATCCTGCAAAGAGCAGTGTTTACTCCTTTAGGTATGACATCTGGAACCTGAACAATCTTTTGTTTCCCGGGTACATGAATGTGGGTGGAGTGGTGTTGGGATTCCCAGCCACAGCTAATATCGCTTGTGGGTGATACCTGAACCCGATTTGCCACCCCCAACCTCCCCCCTTCATCAACCCACACTGACCAGCATCGGGAAGTCAAACGACCTCAATGGCCTACACGGATTAGGGAGGCCTTCATCCGAAAGTAGATTGATAAAGGGCTGCACATATGCATGTATTTCCTGTAGAGCTGCTGTATACAATTACGTTTATTTCATGCATTATGGTTCGACCTTACTCTCTTTGGACTAACATTTGTAATTTAGCAGTCACAAAGGTATTTTTATTCTGCTTAATAATCTTGATTATGATGACATCTTTACTTAGGCATATACTAAAATCCTACACAACATATGCAGCCATTCCTCACATTTTTAAAATATAATAACTTAAGCTAACTTTCCCCCGATTCCTTCTCATTCCTTGGCAGAGCTATCAAAGAGAAATATTACATTTTTAGAAAGAATCTCACACCATGCATAAGTCACCCAAGGCATTTTTTAAAATCTCCACTCCACTACTGTTCTAATGTACCTCTGATCAGTCCAATGGGTAAAGGCACAGTCCTGAAATCGTTTTCTCACACCACTTTTGGTAGAAGGGCTCTATTAAAGGCCTATCTTGGCCTACTCTTCAACATTTAATTGCATTATCCATTGGAAATGCACCTTGCTGCAACACTCATATGCCCATACAAAGCAAACTTTCTGCACTACAAGTGGGCAAATGTAAAAATGTTGATTATAATCATGCGACATGAAAGGCATGTTACATGGAATAGATTTAAAGGCACAGGGGTATCACATTTTATATATGAACCTGCTAAATGGTTGTATAGCCTTGAGATAAGTTTGCAACAGAACCAGAATTGTATTTCTCACGTGTTAATGCGCTCACTCTCTGATCCTGACTTTGCATCCTCAATTGTGCACACAAAGCCACACACTATTTGTTTATCGTTTACAGACTGCCCCAGAGAGTATTTCTTGACAACCTTCCCCACCCATGCAGGGCTCTGATAAAATGGACATTCGTGAAAATGTAGCGACGTACGCCTGGAGGTGTTACTGCATGACTGAGAAGCCGTTTTTCCAGCCACTCCCAGGCACACAGAGCAGGGCTCATGGCAACCCTGGAATAACAGCTTCAAGTTGTACCAGCAACAGGGCCGTCAAGGTCTCACGCACTGCGCGTGCAGTATGCGCAGCAGAGCGCCCCCATCGCACGCGCACACGCCATCAACGCGTCTGTCTGATATGCGATGACGGCTGCGGCTGTCCACCACTGCCACAGTCACCCCCTCATACGGGCACGTCCGGACCTCGAATCGTTCCATTTCATTGAATGGCTTCAGGGGTTAAAATGTTGCATACCTTTTGACCAAGGTTTAGGTGATGAGAGGTGTACATGTACAGCGATTTTTTTTTGTATCAACCTGCTGCTAAGTGAGGGCATCTCTGTGCCCTGTTGGCAATTGGGGGTTATTTGGCCAGGTAGGGGGGGCAACCCCTCCAGCAATGAAAAATGATAGGAGTTGTTAGCAAGTAAGGACTTATCCCTTGCTTTGAATTGTGCGGTGATGGCGCAGTCATCGATTGAGGGTCGAATTCGAACCGCGTTGTGTGATCGGCATCGTGCTCGCTGAAGGTGTTGATGCCTTCAGGGAAGTCATGTACTGTATACGCAACTGCGCACAATTCTGAGTCACTTATAACCGCTTTGCCGTTACTTATTGCCAATTATGGTCTCAGACTATTGTCCGATCATCTCATAGAGTCCCTGGCACATACTAGTATGCTACACAGTGGCAGTGGGGGTCGCAAAATGCCGATTTATTACGAATAAATGATCCGATCGAAATTAGGGATTTCGATCGGATCATTGGGAGGCACGTGCCACCCCATCCCCCCCACTGGCTCCGCCAGTGACTCCAACCACGTTGGCCAACTTGAGTTGGGGAAGGCGGTGAGCGTAGATGCAGGTGGCATCGACGCACACTCCCACAATGGGACCTTGCGGGCACTGCCCACTGCTGCCCACCACGTCGCACCCAGCAAGGCTACAACAACTTGTTTCATGCACCGTGACTCCCCATACAAGCACTCACTATCTCGGCTCAAACCTGCTGGGTGATCAGCACTCGCACGCAAATCGCCACCATCGCCCGTCCACTACAATTTGCACTGGGTTTTTGTTGTCACGCCTAGGAGTGCAACCGCTAATTCTCTCTCTCTCACACACACTAGGTAGTGTTTTATCAAGTTTGACATCTCATAAAGCACTCCACATGGAGGACAGTTCATTGCACTCTGCACCACAGAGTGGGAGTGGATGATTGTATGGTAGTAAAAGCCATAAATCAGGCTTTTGACTTCAGGGAGCTGTTGAGTTTGTAAAGGATGTTAAAAAAAAAACTGAGGGTGTATTAGAAGATGCTGCACATTTTTGTCTCATGAAAAAGGTGACATTTACACAATGTGCTTTGGTATGGAATTATTTCTCCTGCCCACCGAATCGATTATAAATTCTCACTATTTATGTTTCTGCTCCCGTTAAATTTGTTGCGGTTGCAGTGCCTCCAGGTGCTTAAGGGGTGGCGTGGAATCCCATTACGTGCATGCAAATATTTAAATAGAACGGAAAAAACACCGTTTCTTACACCTGAGATTCGATGCGTGTATCACGAGAGTGCAGACATCGATTGATGTCATGATTTGATGCCTGCGTCATGATACGTAGAATCGATGCATCCGTCCACCCCTAATTTCTTTAACGTCAACATTTAAAGGACACGTAAAAAACTAATGCTGAATACTGTATTAATCTGCAGCTGTCGGTCACCTCTGAAATGAAATGGCTCTGAAGAGATGACTCTTGCACTCGTTGCCTCTGCACTTTTTTTTTTAAATAATCAACAGTGGCAAGTGGCTTTGTCATGCCAGCCATGTTTAAAATCAATAATAAACTAACACGCTCACGCGTAATGGCCATAAACAGGTTTATGGCAGGGCATCAAGCGACGAGGCACTTAATTGAGTCCTTAATTGCATTATTTACCAAAATATTGCCTTCCTAAACCTCACAGATGATGTCCTTGGGTGAGTATGATAATGAGCAAAACGTGCTTTTGCATCCATTTTATGCAGGTGTTTACAGAATTGTGATTGTGCATAATGCTACTGCAATGTCTTCTTCCCAGCAGGTGAATCACAATGCATGTCACATTTCCATCCTGTCAATTACACCGCTGCAGTGCCATCTGCTGTTACACATTGAACATGCAGGGTTGCTGCCGGAACCATGTGGAAACTGTCTGCAGTCGTGGGACAAAAAAATTGGTAACAAATAACTTACATAGAACTATATTATGTACAGGCCGTTTGTCAATCCGTTGCTGAACGAGTGCCTCGTCA